AAAACCTTATAAGATTTTATTAAAAATTATTAAAAAAGCATAATTTTTATCAGAAAATATATTAAAATAATCATAATAAAATAATCATAACCATAATAACAATCGTAATAGTCGTAATCATAATATTAAATTCTTAACCATAATAACAATCATAATAATTTTAATCACAATATTAAATTTTATTAAAAATACGTTGAAACGAAACAATAAAAAAATAAAAATTTTAATTAGAAAATAAGTTTTTAAAAAAAATCCAGTGAACAGGAACATCCGCACAACTGTTTGCTATATTTTTTGAAGCGTCGAAAACGGAAAAAAAAATTTGGATTATGGTCAAAAAGTACAGTAATTTTTTGCTCAGAGTATGCTGAAAAAATCTTAACTTCACAATCTACAGAAGTGTTTTTTTAGAACCAGGCCATTATCCCACATTACTGATCCCAAATTCAGTAAAAGTCGCAAAAGAGCGGTAGGACCTGTAGATGTAGTCGGCACTATATGAAGGGAACTTCTGAAGGCAAGCACCCGCATCAATATGCCATAATCGAATCGTGGCATCGTTTGCGGCCGAGAGAAACTTTTCGTGCGATAACACCACAAGCGATCTTACAACATCTTCGTGACCTGAAAAAATAGCAAAATGGAAAATTGCTAGATTCTACAAGGCCTGAAGGAAATTTCAAAACAGGAATTTTTGCCGCAGCTCCACACTATCTCGAAAATACCGAAGGTTTCGTATCGATCAAAAGGTAAAAAAGCTGTGAAAGGAAAAAAAGAAAAAACCAACAAACCTGAGAATGTCTTCAGCTGATGGCTGTCTTGCCAGTACTTAATTGTGAGATCCGCCGAACCAGTAAGATAAAAACCCGGGTTCCCAGGTATCGCAGCAACGGCCCATACAGACATTTTATGGCCCACCAAATGTTTTGTCTGAAAAAAACAAGACGGTACAATTACATCATCTGAATTCTGATCTTTTGCTGAACAATACACCCAAACGGTTGGTAGATACGAGCAAGCACTTAAGTGTAACACCGCTAACATGGGATACCCACACTAACTGCCTGGGTAATCTCTATATGCTTTATGGCGACCCTAACTGTCAGGCTTATTAGGCCAGTGTGTGTATGTCCAGTGTGTGTGCGCGTGCACGACGTCGCGTCCTATATACATATTTATTAATACCTAGTAAGTTAAAGAGATAATGCATACAAAGGTGGCGAGGTCCTGGGGAGCCGAAGCTCCTCAGAACAGGAGCATAAATTAAAAATAGGTCGCAGTGGTGGATGGCTAGTAGCGATCCTGGCGATGGGGAGAAGTGTTTTTACACCCCCAAGGACAAAGATCGAAAGCTCAATGAGGGTAGGGTGGCCAAAGTTTGAACCAGGGACAGGGGTATTGCGTCATAGTAACGCAACTATTCTTTAACCTACTTTTAACAAAAAAGTATTAATCATTATTTGATCTATTACACGACAGTGCGTATATTTATATCTGTCTCGCTATATTTATAAAAATATGCATATTCCTACACAACAAGCTGAAATAAGAAGCTGTTAAAAGCATTGATGGCATGACAACGAACGCTGATGACATATGGTTGCTGTTCAAGTATAAAAGTAAATAGCCAGCGCATCGACTGCCGATGTGAAAGATGCATTTTTTTGCTTAGTTCTTCACAGATTTTTGTCGCTATCGGCAATGTTTTTTTGGCAAATGCTTCTAGCTAAAAAAATTGAGACTGATCGTCAGGACCGTCAGGAAGTATTTCTTTGAAGTCCTAGTCTTCTAGCTTTTTAGACTCCCCAGCTAGCAACTTACCCCCTCTCTCCCCCCCC